GCTCCTGCACTATTGGTGACCTCCTGCAACAGAGGCCTAGACCTAAAATGGCAGCGCCAGTCGTCTCCCCTTACTCCTCAGAGGATGAAATCATTGATGCCCCTGACAAAATCCCCTGCACAGTGGGTCACATATCCACACCACTAACAGGATTTATCAGACTTAGCCACAAAAGGAGACATAAAGGCATTCATGAATAATATAGTGGGGGGCAACTGAAGAACACCTCTCTACCATGGCCCATCAACAGGAAAACATCAAATAGCACCCACAGAGCGATGCAGGTCAAATTGGACACCCTAGAAGATGCAACAACCATGGGCGTCCGCAGGAATTTTTCCAGGGGGGGGCATAATTGTAATGACATCCATGCTTGGTACCTTTTTGACAGTGTCATGAAAGGGAAGGGGCATAGCTATTATCACATAAAGCCAGGGTGAATAGCGTTTTCACAACTATGGTGTCAGGAATATAGGTTTGTATTCCTGACACTATAGTGTTCCTTTAAGCAAATTAAAGGACATTTATGGTCACCATAACAACTTCACCTAAATGAAAATGCTATGATGCCAGGAAGCGGCTGGGTGCTCGCTTTCCTTTAAGGGGTTAAATCGCTCTCAAATGGTTTAACCCCAAAGGCTTCCTCCAGCTCCAGGTCGCTCAGTGGTATCTGGCTTCTGAAACAGAGTGTCAGGAAGTGCAGATTGACGTCAAGCATGGGTGCCGCTGATTGGCTAGAGTGGTCAGTTGACGCTCTAAGCCAATCGCTAGTTCCCGGTTCATAAAATATTTTTACTTTTTTATGAATGGGGAGCTACTGATTGGCTTAGAGTGCCAGCTGACCGCTCTAGCCAGTCAGCGACACCCCTACCCAACGGCACTCTGTGCTTCCTGACAATCAGTAAATAAAAGTGAACACATTAATACTGATATTTTTTTACCTTTGGAGATGAGAAGGTCCAGCGTTTCCCTGTCTGGCCCAGGTACCAAAGCCTTATGATGTGGTGTCCAGAATAAAGTGGAGGGTTCACTTCACTTGTCCTTCCTGCTCCAATCTCCTTTTCCTTTCCTTCATTTGACAGTCTTTTTTTTTCTTCTGACACTGTTTTCTATCCTTGGCCCCTTCTGCTCTTTTACCTTTCTGCTACTTTCTGCTTATTTTGCGCCCTTCTGCTCCTTTCTCATTCTGATCCCTTTCTGCTCCCTTTTCTACTTTACCTTTGTGCTCCTTGCTGTCCATTTCTGCTCTTTCTCCTACTTTACCTTTGTGCTCCTTCTGATTATTTCTGCTCCTTTACCTTTGTGCTCCTTGCTGTCCCTTTGCGCTCCTTCCTGCTCCTTGCAGGCCCTTCCTGCTCATTCTCCTACTTTATGTTTGTGCTCCTTCTGCCCCTTCCAGCTCATTTCTGACCCTTTCTGCTCCTTCTACTTTACCTTTGTGCTGCTTTACCTTCCAGCTCCTTGCTGACCCTTCCTGTTCATTTCTATATATCCCCAAATCTATGGGCTGCTGCCCCCCTCCCCAAATCTATGGGCTGCTGCCCCCCTTCCCAAATCTATGGGCTGCTGTCCCCCCCCAAATCTATGGGCTTCTGCCCCCAATGGGCTTCTGTGCCTCAAATCTATAGGGCTGCTGCCCTCCCAAATTTAGTGGCTGCTGTCCTCTCACCCATATATGGGCTTCTGCCCCCAAATCTATAAGGCTGCTGCCCTCCCAAATTCCATGGGCTGCTGCCCCTCCCTCCTTACAAATCTATGCTGGGCTGCTGCCCCAAATCTAAAAGGCTGCCCCACCCAAGGGCTGCTGCCCCCAAATCCATAGGCTGCTGCCCTCCCCAAATCTATAGGCTGCTGCTCCCACCCATGGGCTGCTGCCCCCACCCATGGGCTGCTGCCCCTTAAATCTATGGACTGCTGCCCCAAATTCCATGGACTGCTGCCCCTAAATCTAGCTGCTGCCCCCAACCCATCTGCTGCCTCCTCAAGTCCCTCCCCCATCCCTCACTCCCCTGATCTGTAGGCTGTCTCTGGCTGCATGTGCTGCTCCCCTGCGGTTTCAATCAGCAGAGAGAAGCAGGGATAAGATGCAGCTTCCTATCCCTGTCTCTCTCCATACACAGCGCCACCTACTGGTCGGTGCCGGTATTGCAGTTCATTCTAAATCTCACACGAAATATCAGAACAAGCTGAAAAATCCAGGGGGGGGCAAGTGCCCCCCCTTGCGCCCCCCTGCGGACGCCCATGGCAACAACCTCACAATAAGAGGTATTGCCGAAACGGTAGACGACCATAAGATGCCGCACTTCTTAAGGTGCCTTTTCGCTTCCCTGATGCCGCAACGCTCCACTAAAGACATACAACTGGATGGCTGCTTTCTACAAGCAAAGTCTAAGAGGGCACTGGCTGGAGCCACCCGCAATGTGCTGGTGAACTTCGTACTAAACCGGGATAGAGTAGCGGTCCAAGAGGCATTGAAGAATAAAACACTTTATGGCTTTGAAGACATGCAACTCTAATTCCTACACAACTTATGTAGATCTACACTAATCTGGAGAAGGCCCCTTCACCAGATTAGTGTAGATCTACAGAAGTCGTGTAACTCAGCGGACACCACTTATTAATGGGGGTCCCTCACATACTCTCCAAGCCACCAGAGGTCGCACCTATTCACTCACCTCTGCGGAAGACTCTCTGAGGCGTTCCTTCAGAAACTGAGCCTCCCCTCATCCATGGGTCCTGGAAGCGGTCCACGTAGCTCATGGGACTTTGCCAAGGTGGTGCCGTTCACCCCAAGAGCCGCTGCTGATACCGGCTGAGGTCGGGACGGACACCCAGATGTATTCTCTATACAGGTCTCACATTCTATTTCACTTACTGTTACCAGTTTATATTTTTTCTTCAGTTGGTTTACTCTTTTTTAATAATAGCATTGCGTAAGATACCTCGGCCGCGATAGCAATATATATATGTCTACCTCACCCGCCCTACACACCGCTCAGGGGTTAATGAGCAACACCTTCCTCAATGTACACTAGAGAATCCAACCTACTACTACATTTTTACCTCACTGGACATAGGGTCCCTACCATATGGCGGGTTTGGGGTGATACACTCACCTGCCCCGCAAGCACCTCCTACCCACCACACCAACGGGTAACGGAACAGATAGCTTCACTGCCAGTTAACCTGACCTACCGACAAGCCTTGACGGCTATAGATGTAACACTCTGTTATCTGAATAAAATAACAGCGCAAGCTACAGGCAACCACTTAACACTCCTAAATGGCAGAGAATCGAGTGATGAGCCTGCAGAGACATGATCTGTACACAAACTGCATTATTAAGCTAAAGTTGTTTTGGTGACTATAGCATCCCTTTAAATTTGTCTGAATTCTTTGCCATAATGCTTGGCTAGCCTTAAACTGTCTTACGTTCCAAGGTTAGCCATCACTAGACAGTTTAATGAGCCACACGTATCATTTTTACCAATACGATCTGAAGTGCTTTTTTTTCTTTTGCTTTTTTTGACTGTTAATCTGCAATACTTTGTTTTGCCACTAGATGGCAGTATATAACAGGCTTAGCTGTGATAAGATCCTCATAACTGGTGCTATTACTGGTGTTTATTATTGCCATTTATATAGCGCCAACAGATTCTGTAGCGCTTTACAATATTATAAGAGGGGGGATTTAACTATAAATAGGACAATTACAAGAACACTTCCAGGAACGACAGTTTGAAGAGGACCCTGCTCAAACGAGCTTACTTGTCTATAGGAGGTGAGGTATAAAACACAATAGGACAGGAGTACATGAAACCGCTGCATTGCAGAAATTTAAATATATCGTCTACAATACTCAATTTAAACATCCAGATGTTCAGCTAAAATGGCACCATATTCTAGTGTTGTACAATTGGGTGAAAAGAGGAGGTACAGTACAAAGAGACTAGTATTAGACTGTGTCTATAAACTATAGTGGTTCTTAAAGGGGACACATACAGACTCCATGAAATCATTTTTCAAATCTCTGAAGAGGTCTTGGTGCTTGGATTAACCCTTAAAACAATTTTCCCACAAATTATGAACACACGAGCCTCATGCTCCTGTTAGTGATGCACTCTTCAACTAAAATGTAATGTATAACACGTGAGCTAAAAAGCCACCGTTAGAATCTTCCCATAGCCACAAATCACCATTTCATTGGGGAAAGCGGTATTGTCATAGAAACTATTATGGGTTGTTTACTGTGAGTTGGTGAAGGTTATTTGCCATTTCCAGGCTGCAGGAACCCTTTAAATAGCACGCCGTTTCAACCCAGGGAATTTGAAATTGTTCACTATAACGTACACACCGTGGTTGTTCTGATGATTAAAAGGTAATATATTCTGTATCCATTTTAACCGATTAAGATGGTTGCAACGTCCTGGATGCCAGGATAGTGAAAGATTGATATAAAAACGAAAAAAGGTGTTTGGGATAAGTTGCCTTCGATTACTGTGATCTTTGCTGGTGAAAAATGTATGGTTACTTATATGGCTTCCAGCGCCCACCCGCCCTTGTTCATCAGCAAACCTGTGTACGTTTTACACGTTCGTGGCCAATCCAATGCCACCGATAGCGAGTATGAGTGTCAAAATGTCAAACTCGTCTAATTAAATGCTCCAATAAGACGTACCTGATAGAAAAAACTATTCTGACTGTTAATGCTGTGGAAACACCTCTAGTGGCTGTCTGAAAGGTTACTAAAGGCAATGTTTTATATTACAGGGTTAAAACTACTTCATTCAGATTAACTGGTCTGGGTGCCTATCTTGTTTCTTTAATAGCAATATTGCAGTCATCTGGTTTAACAATAAATGGCTTTGTCTGTACGACCAAACATTTGACAGTATTAAAAGGACACTATTGGCACCCAGACCACTTCAGCTCATTGGAGCGAATGAGGGTATAGGCAGGAAGCTAAAACACAACCCAAACCAGAGTCTTTTCCTTCTGGTGAAAAATGCAGTTCAGTATGGTAGAGAGGGCGCAGCACCCTTGTGGTTAGTTTTAATTCCAGATGAAGACTAACCATAAGACGCTGCTCCCTCTCTACCATACTGAACTGCATTAAAGTGGTGAGGGTCCCTTAACCCTGGAAAGGTAATTATTGCAGATTTAATTAACTGCATTAATTACTTTTATGGGTTAACCGCACCTCTAGTGGCTGTCGACTTTTGATCACCTGACGCTGGACGTAGCATGAGGACTTCCAGCATCACCTGAAACCCCATAAGAAAACATTGTGTAATGCTTTCCTATGGGGCTGTTCTCATGAGAGAGCAGCCATTGCTGCGCATGCGCTTAAGACAGCTGATTTCAGCAGGGGAGGAGCGAAGGCGAACTCCAAGCCAACACCAAGGGACATCAGTGCTGGACATGAGTAAGTGACGGAAGGGTTTTTAACACTTTCTGCGCTGTGGGGGGTACTCCAGTTGTTTTCCTGGCACTATAGTTTTCCTTTAAATAAACAGAAAAATGGGAAAGAGGATTGCCCATTTCAATTGTAACAGTGCTTAACCCACCAAAATACAGATTTATAGAAATACAAGTAAAAACATGAATTGAACAGAAATGAATACATGTAGTCTATTTGAACAAGCGTTCTTCCCCCAAATAAAGTGTATGGTACAATAGGGTTGTAGCACTAGGCTACCAATTATAATCGAGGAACAAGATACACTGTACTTAAAAAAGGGATATGTCACCGTAATGACCACTCAATGGCAATAGTAACCCATTTGGTCCTTAATGAAGGTGTGCCAGTACACCAAAATGCAGTTTGGGGGTTCCCTCTTCAGAAGAAACAAGTTTCCAGATAAGGCCACTGTAGGGTAGGGATTTACTACTCCTTTACGGATGCGTGGGGTCACAAATAAAAATGGCTGTGGGTATCTTGGCAAGGTGGACCCCTTTCCATGTACTTGGAGAAGGGTTCAGGTATTCAGAATTCTCTCCTTGGTTGTTTAGCAAGCTCAGGCCTTTCCCTTGCAGGAGTTACATTTAATAAACCTCCATTTCCTCTGGAGGTATCGTTCTGAGCAACGTAGAGAATAAAAGTCTGTTCTAATTAAAAGGCAATAGACCGTAGAATATAATGCTGGTGTTTAATCCCATGTTCTTTTGATTTGTCTGTCGACAGAACTAGTCAAGATAGCTCAGCTTTTTTTAACAAGCATATTTGTTGCAACTGCCATCTAGTGGACACCTTTGTGTAGTACATTCCTCTTCATAAATCTCATCCAATGGAGGGAATAGTTTAACACCCCAGTTAGACTTCTATTTATGGGGGGGGGGGGAGAGGGAGAGGGAGAAGGAGAAGGGGCACATCTGTCTTAACAGAATGCATACTTTAACAAAAAATATATAATATTCATTTCTGTTCAATCCTTATTGCATTTGTCCATGTAAATATCTAAATACTTGGCACTGTACTGACACTTTTGGCTTAGAAAATATAATTTTACATAAAGTGAGCAGTTTTATATATGCACTTCTGGCTGATTGTTTACATTTATTTATTTATTTATTTTTTAACACATAATGAAGTGTATGACTTAAAGCGGCACTGTCATGCCGAATCCCGTTTTTTTTTTTAACCCCCCCTCCCGCCTCCACTACATCCAATTGACCCACTAGTCACCCCCAAATACCCCTAAGCCCCCCACATTACCTATTTTTAAATCTTTATTTTCTGCCCCGATCTATATTCAGGGCGCCGCCATCTTTGTGTGGGTAGGTGAAGTCCCGTGAAGGGACACGTCATCAGCCCACACTAGATAGCCTGTGAGATTCCCGCACATGCCCAGTGAAACACCTGGACATGCGAACGGGAATTTCATCCATTCATTCATTCATCAGACAGACGAATGAATGAATAGAAATGTCAGATGAACAAACAAACACTATGTATCAGTGTATGTTTGTTCGTGCAGGTTATTACAAGGAGGGAGCTACCGGCACGCAGCTCCCTCCTTGTAATATGTAACTATAGAAGCGGCAGGGAGCAGTGCTCCCCACCACATCATAAGCCCCCCCAGGTCCGCCTCTCACTCTATGGGGGTCAATATGACCCCCATAATAGCACAAGGGAGATTAAAATCTCCCAAATGCCCCTACTCGCTATACCGCGAGTAGGGGCATGTCAACTAAACAGTGAGCAGTCAGCCTGTGGCTGCTCACTGTTGAAAAACAATTACATAAATTAAGGCACAAGGGGCGGACTTGTGTTCTTTCCCCACCCTGAGCGGTAAGGGGCCTTAATAAAAAAAAAAAAAAAATGGGGAGGACTCCATTGTCATTTCTGAACGTGGTGGGGCATCAGTCGAAAACACCTCTAAATTCTGGCAAGTGACTAGGGTCTCAAGTTTATAAGTCATTTCACTAAAATATCCTCATTTATTTCACTTAAAATAGTGAGGGGAATAGGTCATTCAATCTCATCTTGCTGCTTGATGTCGCTCTTTTTCTAAAATTTCAGTCAGGCAGCCACAATAAAATTAGCCATACTGCCGCACTTTGGGCTTTTCCTTCCAGGGCACGCCGTTCTTTTGAATTTTCCCACGCTGTGTAAAATAATACAGAGCACTCTGATTGGCTTAAACCCACCAATCAGAGTGTTCTAAGCCTAATTGCAGGGCCGGGCAAGGCTTTACAAGCCTTGACCCGCCCTGTGGAGCTCAGTACGCGGCGTGCCCTGGAAGGGCGAACATGGATTAATTTTTTTTATTTTTTTTTTAAGTCATAAGTGCGACGGGTATGATGGATTTTTATTTGGCCTTTTTGGGGGCTGAAGAAAGAAGATTTTAGAAAAAAGAAGACATCAAATGGTAAGTTTATTTTTTTTTTTACAGGTTAGTTATTTTATTCCCCCCTCACTATTTTTAGGGTGAGGGGGGTAGGTAGGGGATAGTTTTTTTTTTGGGTGGGGGGGGGGACTAGGGGCTTGGGACCCCTAGTCACCTTGATTGGGGGGGTGTTTCATTTAGGGCCCCCACCCACCGCTCGGGGGGAGGACAGTAGGCCCCCCCCCTTATTGTTTTACTAGGGCCCCCACCCACCGTGCAGGGGTGGGGGCCAGGGAGGGGAGGACAGTAGGTCCCCCCCTATCTTTATTTAGGGCCCCCACAGTCAGGGGGGGGGTTATTAGTTTTTTTTGTTTGTTTGTTTTTTTACAGTGAGCAGCTATAAGCTGCTTACTACACATGCCCCTACTCGCGATATAGCGAGTAGGGGCATATTATTTACTAATACTAAGTAATCTTTACGTAGTATTAGTAAATGTGGCTGAAAGACCAATTTAGGTCTTTCAGCCTCTTAGTAGATAACTCCCTAATTCCCACGGTATCAGGGAGCTATCTACTAAGCGGCTGCAAGATGCAGCCGCGGCAATGAATAGGATCAGAGTTTCATTCATTAGAATAAAATTCCGATACGAACAAAGTTCCGAATTGCGTTCTAAAAGAAATGAACATACTGTTCTCATTCAGTTAGAACGCAATTCGGCAGTTTCATCTAAAATGACAGGAAGCATCGTGGGAACACAGAGGGAAGGTAAGGATCATGGGAAAATTGCTCTGACCAGCGGAAATGAGCACACTTTGCTCCTCCGCTGGTCAGAGCAGGTCAAGCGGAGGAATCCTCCATAAGGCAAAGAGTCCCTACTTTGTCTTATGATTTTAAAGAAAACTAAAGAAGACAGGAAGAAAAGAATAACAGATCCTGAGAGAGGGGGAGAAGAGGAAGAGATTGAGGAAAGGTAAGTTCGGCATGACAGTGCCGCTTTAACCCCTTAAGGACCAAACTTCTGGAATAAAAGGGAATCATGACGTGTCGCACATGTCATGTGTCCTCAAGGGGTTAAATGAAAGCTCAACGCATCCCTGCTACAGTGCCAATTTATGCAACAAGATCTCCGCAGACCAGAAAGCAGCCGAAGTATCTTTTAATACCAGCATTATGATTTTTTTTTTTTTATTTTTTTTTTCAATGCGAGTTCTGAGAATATCCCGTTCAGCACACGGCTCCAGTGCCTCACAGAATAATGGCATTAAACTATGGGCGTAGAAAATGCGTATCGGGTCTCTGGGAGAATGGGACAAGGTAACCCTTGCAACATTCTCGGGATCCACCTCTACACACTGCCTAGAGAGAATCGTACATTTCTGGGTACTTATAATATATATATAGGGCAAGACTCAAGTGAGTAATGCAGGCTTAGTTGATTAATCTGCATGTGCAATAGAATGTCATAAATGTGATTATTCAATGGGGAGTTAAATTTAATTACACATCAAAGTAACCATTTTCACTCTTTATAAGTTACTGAATGACAAGTTTATTAATGGCTAGTAGTCATTAAATGCAATACTGAAGTGCCACCAGCAGATGGTGCAAACACTGCATGCATACTTCTGAATCTCTGCCTGAACACTGGTTGATCAAGCTTACTGGAAGCCATAGGTTCTATGGTGGATACAGATTGACAGTTTGTGTCTTTTTGCCTTTAAGGGACGGTATTATTTGAATTCTACATATTTTTTTTTATGACATTTTTAAAAGGACCGTAAAAGAATCAAACCAACTTTAGCTTAATGGAATAGTGTTGGTGTATAGATCCAGTGATGGCTCTAGACTTTGCGAGGATGAGGCTCCCACTGACACCCAAATTGCGAGGTAGAAGGAGTGCAGTTATTTTGAAGGGCGAGCTAGTCTCCGTATTCCTCGTTCTGAGGCCTGCAATGATACGGCTCCCTGTGCCGCTGTGTTCTAAGCTGACTTTAGTTATGGCTAATTTACAAACTGAATTAATTCACAATAAACTATTTTAATTTGCAATTATGCTGGTTGGTTATACACAATTGTAGGGTACGATTACATATGCTGTCAGTCATGTATACATTAGTCCAGTTGTGAAGGGGTTATTGAAACAAAAAAGTTCTTTAAACAGTTATTATTATTTATATAGCGCCATCAGATTCCGTGATGCTGTGGAAGCTATGTGCCATGTCTGTGCTATGGATAAGCCATTGGACAGATAGATGAAATATCTGCATCCATGACGGCCTGTAGTGA